ATTATACTGAAAGGCTGAAAATGAAAAGGAGAGACAAGAGTAGATGACGACGGAAACTGGTGCTAGCTTATCACAAGTATTCTGAGGTGTCTACAACTCCCGGTGCTTAATAAGACAATCCGAAAAGGAACTGATAGCATGAATGCCACTGACATCCATCAGCCAACATTCCTAGCAACGTCTCGAGCCAAATGCGAGTGATCACAAGGAGCCCACCCGGAAAGGCCAACCACACCAACAACAACCATTTTCTTAGTAATCTCTTTCACAAAACTCTGCAAAACCATACTGTCCATTTCACAGTTTGCGCCATTCTGAAGAAGGCACGTGGAACGAAGTGTCTGGATAGTCGATGTTTTGGGATGCATAACACACGGCCGAGCCAAGGAAGTTGATGGCGCCGAACATTCCCTGCAGCTGAAATAAATGTAAACATCCAAATATCCGCTTTCTTATTAACTTGTCAGGAATTCGTTGGTGCCATCCGACACCAGCAACCAGACAGTGGTGTTCGAAAACGTGAAGACGCCTCACATTATCTGTCCGCGGAGGCCATGTCTGGCAATAATACAATACAGCCTTTATTGCGGCCCGGTGCATATTATCCTCGAGACCACAAGTGATAAAGATTACCAAACGTGATTCGGACCTTTGATATTCGTGCGCGTTTTTCATCCTTGATTAACAGTAGCTATCAGGGCGCCCCCAAGATAGTAAGATATACACCTACAGGCACTCGCCGTGCCAAATCACTGAAAATTAGCATCGCAATATACATACCCCGACACCCTCATCAGATTGAAAGAACGAATCCCCGCCGAGTTGAGCAGGAGTAAAAGTCGCAGCAGTCTGCAAACGTTGCATCCGGTGTAAGGACTGTGTAGCACTAGTAAACTGCTCTTTTTCATGCTCAGTATCATCTGTTCCCCCATCATTATCAGTCACATCGTTGTACAAAAGTTTGTTTTACTGAAATACAACCGCTACCGCTCGCTCGTTGGCTCCAACGTGACTTTGAGACTTTTGCTGAGTGGCTTTTGTTGTGACCGCCGGTTGGCCATAATTGACTGCTACTAACACTAAACGTGAACAAACATTTCAGCTACAAACACTGGACTAGTATATTCACACTTGTGGATTAATATTTCAATCACCGGAGATCTGGAATACCAGGAAGATAGAACTAATCTTGGTGTGGTGGTTCAACGGAATACGGAACTACGGAATTTCATTTTGAACTGAGTCAAGATTTACTTGTATTTTTCTCCTTGTGGCTTTGTATCTGGCTTACATTAGTAATTTGCTCTGTTCACTAGAGACTCCATAGGGCCATTAACCACTACAACTGTATAGTTAATTTCAATGTCTACAAATTTTGTGGCTCACGAAGCTTCTTCCACTGATAAGTACCGTGCTCCTTTGTGTCGCTTATCGGGTAAACTCAAAACCCATAGGAGATGGTGATCTGAATTAACAAGTGAATTTAAAAAGGAACGGAAGCAAACAACCGGACAAGGCCACCGGCATCTGATGTTGACTTACTCAGCGTGACGCGAAGGCTACTCAACAATAGAAAAGGGGACACCGGAAGGTACAACGGTGTCCAGTAGTGTTGACAGAAAACCGAAGACTGAAAGCATGAAACTCTAATTATAATCGTTTGGTTTATCGTTCACACCTAATAGACGTCCCCAACGTGCTGAGGCACCCGATCTCGCAACCAAAGTTGTGCCTTATAAAGTTACACCCCTTATCAGGGCACCGTGGACGAAGCTCCGTCAGCACGCGCGACTATACGGTAAGCTTTCGCCACGAGCTCACCACGCTCAGGGCTGTAAGGCAAGAATGCTCACTCGCGCCATTGCTGAGGTGCTACTGGAGACTTCTCTGTCTGCCTCTGAAACTTCGGGACGTCTGCTCATAGACATTGAGTATGCCGACGATATCGCCAACCTTGGTTCAGGTCCTTCATACGTGCATATCATTTAAAATAACCTGAATAATTCTGCTGCGCGGTGTAGTATGCGCTCCACACCAGCAAAGTGTCAAGTGGTGCTACAATGCTGGGTGTGATCAAATCCAAACCTGATGATTGCCGACCAGGTGATTGATGTGGTACATAAGTTTGTCTCCCTGGGCGGTTGTGTAAGTCCTGACGGACTAGCGGGAGACGAGGTTGCTTTTTTGATCAGCAAGGCCATGGCATATTTCGCTAACCTCCGGCACCTATGGCGCCGGCGCGACACCAGTTTGTCTGTCATAGTCCGATCCATACCGCGTTTCGGATAAGAAACTCACCGCCATGCGCAGAGACCGCACGAAACCCGTCATCGTTTGACCATCGGTTCTCAGAAGCGTTGACCGGGTCTAGAGGGAACCTCGGACTAGCAATGCCCAAGTACGTCAGTTCGCTTTAGGAAAGGGGAGATTCCCCTCGATGAATGCATTACTCACGCTTCATAGGCTACGCTAGATGTACGTGCCACAGGACCGTTAGCCTCGTAAAGCTATTTTCGCCCTTTGATGTGCTGGGTAGAGCAACCGAGTGATGGACAGTATATGATCCGGCAACGAAGTATGAAAACACTAATCAGCAAACTCAGTCAGGTCGACAACTGCGGTCCCTCTGCATGGGGACTTCAAGATGCAACTCACTAACGGTTCAAGACGCTGACAGACACGAAGAAATCACGCGGTCAGTAGCGCTGTTGCATTAAATCTATTACATTTAATGTGTAGATGACTAGTTCTCACCTAATTGATTACGAAAGCACCTCCAAGGCTTGGCTGTTTGCTCCGCACTCTCTCACTCTCCGGTGATCGAAACTGTGACAGCAAGGACAAACGGGCCCTTGGTGCGCGGATTGCAGCTGGTAAACTAATCTGAACTGAATTGAGCTTCCTCTACTGGATGAGGTGGCCAGTGCTCTACGAGATGTGACTTTCGACCAACAAGCTACAATCAATTGGCAAAGAGATGGACACAATAAACAGCGTTCAGTGTTGTGACGTGTACGAGGTTTATTGAGCGGCAGGCCGAACAGCACAGAGTCAGTTGCCCACAGGTATGAGGTCCAGTAATGAAGCCTTGGCTTGCAAATCAAGTGCTGTATCAACACCGACGTAACACGCTGCAGGACCCTAACAGCTCGTAGACGGTAGTGTGGACAGACCGGATCCCATAAACTCAATGAATGTTCTCAGACTCAACATTCTAACAAATCGAACCGGTCTGTGTCCGATGGGGAGGTTTGATCTGCGTTGAACCAGTGAGTGTTAGGAGCTTGCTAGACCACGGTTGAAACGACTTAGTGGTTAGGGCATGAAGTTACTCATCGGAAGGTCCATGGTTCGAACCCAAGTTCGGCATTTACACCGCTCCTGTCCAGGTTTGAGTAACTTATAGTGTATCAGTCCTCGTGCTCCCATTGGTTAGCATAGCAGCAGGGCACCGAAAATGCGTTACAACTGAACGGTCAGGACCGAGTTTATGACCTTCAGGGATACAAAACTCTTCTATGGATGATCTTCACTGAACGCTCAGCAGTAAAGATACTAACCGTTTACTAAGGTCGAAAATACCACTTTTGGATGGCGCACTACTCCTCACGATGGAACAAATGGACTCAAGTCAACTGGTCGGAACGCAAATGGCCAGTGTGAACTTTCAGGGAAATCCCATTCATAGACAAGGCGAGATATGCGCTTATTCGATGCTTATTCTCATTTAGTCATAATAGGGATGGGATAGTCGATGCAAACAAGATCTATTGAATGGACGTTAGTTCGATCTTCGTACATGTAACAAACTGGCTATAGACCGAACATTTGGTTTACCTTTCTGGGGGAGATGGCCACGTTAGGCTTGGTTCGCATGACACTTAGTCTGGTTCCGTTTGCACGACGCATCATCGTGGTTCTGACACCAGCCACTCTGATAACACCGGATGAGAGTCAGTAACTTGTCTTTGACGTTGTACAGTGAAGGTTCTGGGAGCTCGGGTCCCAGGGTAAGGACAATCGAGATGCCGATAATCGTCCAGTTGTAGCACTGTTCCATTATCTAGCTACTAGGCCACAGGAAGGAAGCACGAGGGCTGAGATATTACCAGGTTGCTCAAGCCCAGACATGATCAGTCGGGGTTGGATTCTAACCACGGACCTTCCGGTCACTACATTCGCGCTTTTATCAATGAACCATCGAGAGATAACTCATGACTCTCAAAAAGCGTCGCGCCAAATGTGCAGTTTGATCCTAAAGAATACTTGATAAATGCGCGGTTGAGACTAAATGTAATTCATGTCTTACAAGTGGAGAATTAAGGGGAGTCCGATTTAACCATCTCGGTACCATGACTCACAGCATGTAAAACAGTCAGATATTTTTGCCGTGCCTTGCGAAAACGTATTTTACTGACAGGTTTTGGATGCTTTCGAAAATGTTTTGCGCAGTTGGGTACAAATGAATGCAGCACTAAGAATTCCCATGTTATGAAATCATTGGACTGCAAGCATTGAACGAGCCCAGACAGTAGGAATCCAGAGTTATGAAAATTCACGGGTCCATACGGGCCTGACACGTCTGGATTCAAGGGATAGTTCGGAAAGCGATCGGACTGGAAACTGGCCGCGATGACAGTCCTGGTTACATCGATCCACCACGATCAAATGGCATCTATGGAACGGAAGGTAAGCTATCTAATTCATAAGAGTCGAACAAGTCTTCCGTAAACACGGGAGTAGCTACGGTGTTGAAGAACTTCAATATGGGAACGCTGAAACTGGTAATCAGAATGAATAATACGTTGTGTCCAAAGGCCTTGTCGCAAATCTTTTGTGAGTACCAGAAATCTTCAAATTCAATGACAAATCTGGGGAAGGGACACAGGAAGGCGTGCGAATGAACAACGAAATATGCTTTTCGAACTAGAATTTCGGAAGGTATTGTCATCCAGTTCATCGTTACCAGTTCATCGCTGTAGTAACGATCATTGGCTTACCTTCAAGATGTCCATTTGGTCAAAGGGGCCACCCAAACTGCCATTTAGAAATTTTTGGTTTTTCAAGTCATCCATTTGAGACTAATGAGGAGTTATAGTGGAACGAATCAGGGCTTACGCTGATGAGATTTGTCAACTCTGAAGGCGTCACTTGTTTAGCTCGCTCAACAGCAGCTGCAACTTGCGATTGGTGCTACAAAAAACACTCAATAGGGCAAACATAACAAACCTCCTGTGACAAGAAAGGAATGACTTGGACCAAAATGGCCCCCAAGCGTTTAGCAATCTCCATCTACAGCATCAGACACGGTAGTGAAACGGAACATTACCTGTTTGTGCATCTCAACATTCAGTCCGTACGTTATCTCGTAATACAAAATATAGTGACGCTGTAACTCCGTCTTCTCCTGTATTGCTTTTTCATACTCAAGTTTAAGACTGGAGAAAAAGTTGCTAGTAAAAAATCCGTATACCTGTGACATTGTTGCTGGAGATTTGTTAGCTCATCCTTTATCCTTTCACAAGCATCTGGGACGTTAAATTTCGTGTGCTGTCCCGACTGTGATGAAGTCTGCTTGTACAAGGTGGAATAGTAATGAATATTACGAGAAAACCCACCGGTGGCCTGGACGAATACATGACCCGACTGTAGCGCAGTCGGTATTCAATCGTCGCGCGCACTGGTCGAAGGTCAATGAAGAATACACATAGAGGGGAGTACGGACAGGGAGGGAATAGCACCTAAATTAGGATGGTCATTACGGCCATCCATGCTTCACCAGATGGCAGTAGATAGCGCTGTTCCAACGCCTTCCAGATGCAGCAAATGTCGGTGGAACTCACGCGATAAACCGATTTGGATGTGTATTATCAAAGTAACTGATATCAGGCCTGTAGATAAAGGCTATACGCCTTGCTGATCACAGATGGCATGGACATCGGACATCCGGTTACCTACAACCTTATGAAAAGCGAACAGTTCACCCATATGCGCAGATGGATTGATTTATACGAGGTGATGAAGGCTAAAATTATAGAGAGGATAGGTTCGTCACTGACAAACTGGCGGCTTAAATGCGACCGGCGAGAGTAGCGTCCGCAGGCGATTTCAGGTTGTGCTCATTGCACTTTTGCAAAGGCACCAGAAAGCACATGTATATACATTTTCCAGCATAATTTATGGGGCGTGAATAACTCATTCATCGCGGGGAATTTTCCTTTACCTAAGGCGGGCTGACGTACTTGTGTATTGCTAGTCCGAGTAATGTCAGAATGTGAATAGCACTAATAATCAGTTACGCGCAGTGGCTACCAGAGACACTGCAGTACAATTGAATATCACAAAAAGGAAAGGGACTTATGAAGTTCTTCGGCGAAAGATGACCACAATGGTCTGAATTTTTAGTGGTTTTTCGAATTTTGATCCAATCCTCTACCCAGTGGAGCAGGGGTATACGTGCGTAGATCCTGCGTCACTAACTAACTTGATTGGAGGGAATATATGGAGGCCATAAGGGCAGTATCCAGCGCAAACCTGTGGACACAAACCGCCGTGCCCCAGCGAGGCTCAGAATGTTCGTCTGAAATCGAAAATTTTCATGTCATATCTGCGGGCCTGACTCCAAGGCAAACCGATGGAAGTTAGATGCCTGCCGGACCGCGGGTTGAAACGGCCCAGTGGCCGAGGCATGAATTTATTAGCCAAAATATCTGCGGTCGAAACCCTAGTTCTGCATCTCAACTACTCCTATCTAGGTTAGGAAAACATGACACCATCTCAGCCCTCGTGCATCCCTCGTTTGGCATAGCAACTAAACACCGAAGATGTGCTGAAACTGACCGATCACGATCGAGTCTATAGCCTTGAGAGTTACAAATCTTTCCGTTGAGTGTTTTTCAGCGAATGCTCAATCGAAAATCCACTGGTCACCAGTGTTTCTTCTGAGGGTCTGCCAGGATAAAAATTATCGCTCTGGAATCGCACGTTATTTCCCACAAGAGCAAAGCCGACGTTTCACACGAATTCAATGCGTTGAGTTTTGGTGCCGCGCGGCTTCCTGAGGGTACCCAACATTTGCTAATTTTTAGGCATGCGCACATTGGGTCTGTGATATACAGTGTGGACACGCTGTGAGCCCTAAAAGTGCATATTCGTTCAGTTCACGCACCTCGATTTATTATGCATGAGGTGGCGGGACCGACCAGCTTTGCGTATAAAAAAATCCACGCGTCCAAGCTACTAGTCCCGTAGAGGTAAATGAATATTTTCTTTGTGTTTCTTCTAATATACCGGTGACCTTGAAATAGATAGTATTATTATGTAACTCCTCAGTCTTCACAGGTTGTCTCCTCTGGCTTCTGGTGTAGACCCCTCCATCGCGCGTGTGATCCTTGTCACGTTTGCTTCCACTGCAATGGGAAATCATCTTCTCCACCTTTCAAGGTTTTCCGCACAAACCCAGATGACTTTTTCGTACCCTTTTTACCATCTCTCTGAGGAACTAAAGCAGATTGTACCACTCAAATAGACTGCTGCCATTCCCGTAACTGCTGATATGTTCATCTCCTCGCAGTATCTTCTGCTAAACCCTCCTTTCTTCATCTCCATAAATTCTTCAACTCGGTCCCGATTATAAGAATAATTAGTACCACACTCCACAGCCGTAATTTTTCTATTCCTCACACCACTCCGCCCAGAATTCGGGGAGCCACTATAAATCATATCTCTTGGTGCCTCTTCGCTCAGTCAGCTGCTGTAAAGGATATTTCCCCCGAGAAAATTTTATGTGGGGCAGCTAACAGTTTGACTTAACTATTGACCCGGTTTAGGCAAGCGATGTGACCACAACATTTGCCCTAATGTTCGTGAAAGTGCACGAATTATACATAAGAATAACACGTTGGTAGCTCCTCAGTATAGTTATCGATAAAACAACTCTAAATATTTTTAGGACGCGACGAAGGAAAGCAAGGGCTGAGCTGATCACTGGCGTGGTTTAGTAAAAATATTAATAACGTTTATCTCCAACTTGTGTGCAGCATACCGTCAGGTACCATTATAAGTTTACAGTCAGAAAAAAAGCATGACTGGGGGATTTTCGGGCACTGGATATTCCGCGAAAAAGAGGATAACGTCATAAACAGTGAGCAAGATCTGATGAAATAATGATCTCTATTTTTCCAGCTTGTGGGGAATATGCCGATTGAGGCATGATCGGACCGTTGCAACCTGAACGCGGCAGGCAACAACACAACGGAGAGAAAGGTAAAACCAACAGGGCATGCTTGTTACATGAAAAGCCATTGCATTTGCGGGAATCGACTAGTTCAAAGATAAAGCCGACTGACATGAACTACATTTGGAAGCCATTGCCCACCATGACTGACCTCGGGCGGTTGAGCAAACGGTCAGTCAGAACGAGTAAACACGTAGATGGAGAGTGAATAGCTCGAAGTAGAAGCCAATGGCAAGTTTTGTCTTGAAAATATTGTTAGTGGACTCACCAGTGTCACTGCTGTAGAGACGTCAGTGCAAAGAATAGGTTCGGCTTGGAGATAGTGCTAATGCATGAGGCCAAACAAACAATGTAAATGGTATTGAAGTTGTGGAAAAGGCAATCAGAAATTGCAGCAGAAAACTCGGTTGATCAAATGCAAACGAAGTTTAGAGTGAACTCTTCCCAGAGGCGGTTGGGACCAGGTGGAAAATTTGCTCGTATTTGCTATTGCGGTGCCCCTTTGGCCCTTTCGTTAGCACGATGTCCCCATGCCATGTCATCATTGCACTGAAATACCCCGGTTTCTGGACAGCCCCGTACCGGAGGTCCTTTTTGAGGGGATTGGGCTGGGATGTACCATTCCGTGGAGAGGTGGTTATTTTTGGTTGACATAGGGAAACCTCATTAGTAGAACAAAGCCTATATAAGATTGCGGGTGATGCATTCGAAACTCTATTAGTTTTAATTGTAGCGTGACAGATGTGGTCAGTGCGCAAACCTGCAATGCTCGGGTCACGTTTGCTAATTTGAAACACCTGTGGCGTAAAGGCGGGATATTCATAAATATCAAGTGAGGTGTATCAGGGTGCAATAGGGGCTGTTCTGCATGGCTGCAACAACTGGCCTGATGAGAAGCGGAACCAAGGCGTTTTCAGGTGTTTCACAACGGTTGTCCCAAAACCATACCTCATGTTGGTGGGTGTCGGTAAATCCGTTTGGCGACATTTAGATAGCGAAGTTCGGTTGTGCACCGGGTATTTCCACTGAAGAAAGCGTCCTTGCAGTCTCCAGCTAGATCATCATCGTTATCTGGGACGACTGGATCGCATGAGGTTTGGCTATATTGCTGGCTCATTTATTCGGATGTAGTCAACATGATTTCGGAAGTGAAGATGGGTTGCAAAACTTCGACATGAACGATGGGTTGGATGAAGCCCATAAGGGTGCCCCTTGTTGGTTAGACAGCTACTGTGGTTAAGTATTTTGCGCGTTTCGATGAGGAAGACCGATCTGTCGACTTTATTGAGCTGCATTGTATTGGTATTAGGGAGCAGAAATCGACTGAAGTTGGGATTTATCTGCTCTAAACGAGCGGATTTTAGTTCAAACAACCGCTCACTCACTATATCTTTGCTACCGCTGCATCCATGATTGGACGTTTGAGTACGTGTGTGGCCCTGGGGTCCCAAGGCTCAACCTTACACCACTTGGCATTACGGCTGACGTGTATACACCCCTATTTGCTGCGCCAAATAGTGTACGTGGTGGCCGAATAGCGCTATTGGTTCATCGACGTACACAAGGCTCCCTCATTATGGCTAGTTGGACTGATTACGCAAGTAGTGCACTTACCTTTATAACTGTAAGTCTCCAGGTTCAGCGCGGACACCGACCGGGAATTGTTTACGGAGGCATTTTGTAAGCAACCGGTCAGTTAGCCAGTGCAACTTTTTTAAATGATATCGCAGAAATTGTGCATGATTCTTAACTGATTATACACTTTTTCAGAAACCCTGTCGAGTAAAAAACTGATAAGTGGATTGACCATACAGTATGTTTGTACTGGTGCAACCAATAAATAGAAACATGATTTGTTAAAGGTGGTTGCGTATTATTTTTAGGCAAGGGGCTATCAGTTGGACGATGTATGGATATAAGGGACAGCTTTTGGTCGTTGGAGTAGTCTATTATGCATAGCTAGGACATTATAGTCAGCTACGTGCACGTGCACTTTCCCGGTAGCTACTATAAGCGGCCTCGGCAGGTAGCATTGAGTAAAGTTATGGCGGACCGTCGTTGGCCATTGGACTGGGCTGCTGGGCATAGTTGAGGCCTCATACTCAGCGGTGCATATGGACACAGGCCTAGCAATTACCATAAGTAGTTCAAGGTAGTCGATATAAATTACAGTTACGAGTATGCTGAGTCGTCGTTGGCCATTAGATTAGGGTATCACACATAGTTAAGGCCTCGTTTTTATCGGCCCGCATAGGAACTGGTCCGGTGTTTGCTGCAGGCAGCAGACAAGCGAGAGCGCGCACGGTTATGGATATGACAGGTTATCGTTGGCAGCTATATTAGGACACTGCGCATAGTTGAGGCCTAATAATAATCAGCATCCCATACAAGCACTGGCCTAAAAGTTTCGAAAAGCAACCAAGGTTGGCAATGTCGTGTACAGTTAGGGGTATGAGGATGGATTAGGTTACCGGTTATTCAACGCCGCACATGGACACAGACCTAGCAGGTACAAATAAGTAGCCAAGTAGGACGACACCGAGTGCAGTAATGAGTATGACAGGCCGTCAGATTAGGCTCTCACATATGGTTTAGGCCTTATTTTTTTACCAGCCCGCACGGATGCTGGCCTGGTGTAGCAATAATAGGTGGCATCTCGTGTGGATATGGGTGTGAAAGACCGTCGTTGGCCATTGGATTGTTACTGTGCATAGGCGCGGTCCCACAAACAGCATTGCACATTGACGCGAGC